AATGTGAGTCGGATTGAGCTACGGGTGAAAGTCGACGAAGGCACACATGGCCCTGTCGTGGTTTATGTGTGCCCAAAAACACATCCAAAGACAGTTCAGGTGAGCGTTAGACTATTTAAACCCTTGTTTTGGCGCTTGTGAGGCGTTTCTGTAGAGTTTCCTATTCCGGCATCTCCGCGAATGTGTTAGCGATTCCAATTGCACAGTCCATGCTGATCGCATGGGCGGAGATACCCAACCATGGCGTCCTCATTAGTGCATACCTCCTCAATACTGTGAAAGGGGAAAAACCCAGTGGTAGTTGTTGGGTGTCTCCGCCCATAAGATCGATGTGGACTGAGCCGTCGAACGTTCTGAGCCCGAGAGGAAACATGCAGTTGCTGAAAAGTAAGGTTGTTCACGATATTGACAACCACGCTTCACATGCACTTGTGCAGTCTTCTGACATTCCTAGTAGTTCTGCACGTTCAGATTCGATCCTATGAGGTCAAGCCGCTCTCGTCTCACAATCGAGTTCATTCATTTGATAATAGCCGACCATTGAACACCTTGTCATTTTCTGGTAAGTTTTTCCAACTTGACCGCTTCAGAATTCTTTGTTCCAAGCCCTTTATTCCTTTGTTTCCCTAGCCGTTAGTCGCTCGAAATTTCTAAATCTGATAGCTGAGCTGTCTACCAGCTCAGGGAGCCGAACACACTGGCAAAAACTGGGAGGACGGTAGACAAGGGGGGGGGTTGTCTTGTGCAAAATTTTCTCCACAGTATGTGGTGTGCCTTGTCCCAACTACAGCAGCGCCCACTGTTCGCTCAGCAGTGTTGATAGCCATTTTGAGAGCAATGGAGGGAAATGAGTCAAGTCAGAGTTGCCGCTTTGGAAAGCATCCTTCAGACGGACCTAAAAATTACGGACCTGAAAATTGATGAATGGGATCAAAAATTATATCACTATTTCCTGAGCTGCCTTAACGTCCAAAGTTATTCAGAATTCCAGGAAATTTCTCTTTGGCCGAGGCTCACTCATGGTTGTCGATGATTGTGCCGGGAGTGCCGACAAAACCACCGCCAACCGACACGGTTACAGTCAATTACCAGTCCACTTCCAATGCTCCAACGCAGCTCCAGGCTATCTATTCGTAAGATTTTTTCTTTTTTTGGCAGTGGTTGTTGACTATCATGTCTACAAGAAGAGAAATGTGGGGTGGCTTTTAGGAAAGGATCGATTTCGTTCCGGTCTGACTCGATATCGACGATAGCTATTATTCGCGATATTATCAGTGAGGATACTACAAATCGACAGATCAAAGTTCAGATTTCATGCGGTGAGTGTTAGCCGAGGACAAAACGGATCTAGAGACGTGTGAGGTGCAGTCAGAGCAGTCGCAGACTGGGGATTCCTCGAGAGGAAGTGAGTGTGTTTAGGTTTTCAGGCCTAATTAGTAAATGAAAAGAGAGCATGACAAGTTTTTTTGTCTGAAAACTGTCCTCTGTTCGGCCCCGTCCTTCCATGTCAGGAGAGGTTGGGCACCATACGGCATGCAAGTGAGATGGCTTGATATCGTGCCGGTCGGGTGTTTACAGCTGAGAGGGAGCCGTGTTGAAAACAGTTTTTTCACAACCGGGTTGTGACTGGAATACAGTCCACATGAAGGCTTTGGAGGAGCGCATCTAGGACACACAGTCTTGCTCTTTGCGGACATTAGGGCGCTTTAGAGGGGGGAGGGGGGGAGGAGGCTGAGTTTGGTGCAGCGCCAGACTTTTCTCCAGCAGTTGTGGTCGCCTGTCTGTTCCAGCAGTTGGGCTAGCGCCGTACCTAACCCAGCCTCCCTGATGCGCCTAAGCGTTCTCAACGATCAAGACTGTAGTTGCGAGGGCGCGGCGGCGCTTGCTTATCTGTGGAATGTTGCCTTTTTATGTCAGAGGAGCGGAGCTGCCCAGCCGCCTGCACTCTCCTACGTAGACTTTCTCTACAGTTGGTCCCCAAATCAGCAATATTCCTTGGATATAAAGCTGCTGCCAATCTCACACAAGTGCCCTGACTTGCCCTTCAAGCGTTATGATATGGATTGCACCAAGTGGTGTTGAATGCATGGCTGAACATTCAAAATAAATTTATAATTATTGATCGTTCTATCATTCTATGACCTTGCTATTACAGATGTAAATGATGCTACTGTGGATCACTGCTTAAAACTGATGCACCCACGTATGACACACTTGTTGAATCTGGAGAGAAGAAAGCTCATGGCGGCTGCATTGAAGGTCAGTATGATTCTGAATGAGGCATCATTTTGTCCAACTACTGAGAAACGATGTTCTCTATGATTCTGCACTGTACTCAAAGAACAGTCTACGATGGCATGGTGAGGCGCTCAGATATGAACTACGAGGTGCTGAGTAGCTCGGTAGTGAAAAAAGCAGAAAAAAAACTGTCAGGAACGTGTAAATAGGGTCTCCTTGCACTTGTGGCGTCGTACGAGTTTGACGGCGTTTGGAAGAGTCTTCCGGTACGCCGGCGTCATGCCAGTAAATCGATACCGGAGCCGATC